TATATTAATTTCAAATAATTCGTATTTGAGATTTTTTATGCGTATATTTAGTCTATTGATTTTTAGATTAGCTTACAATTACCTAACACATTCCTTCGTCTCGACAGTATTTTTTAAAAAAGAATTTTAATTTTAACATGCTATTTTAATTTTTTTAAAAGTATTTAAGCCTAGGGAACTGGGCAGCAAGACCTAAAGTCAGGCTTTCATCTCCCATAGGTTCTCTATTTCAACTTGCTAAAATAGAGTATACAATTTGATTCTCTGTATTTGGAGCATCAACCTTACTCTATACTTTATAATTAATTAATGAAAAAATGACACATGTGCATGTTGCATTAAATGTTATTCCCCATATTGGTTTTTTCTAATAATAAAATAGAGTCTTATTGGAGTTGTTAAAAAAATTTCACTCTATTTAAAAAAAAAACATTCTTTAAAATAAAAAGCACTATTGAAGTTGCTCTTATTCTCCAGTTGAAGGCACAACTAACTATTTATTGAAACCCAAGACTATCATTGTATGAAACAAAAATTTACCAGCAAAATAAAAAAAGATGGTCTAATCTATGAGACTCCCACCCATGCTCAGAAAACATTTTCTTCATTCCTTCTTGCTTCAATTTTACATTCAAAAACTTCAAGCTTGAATACAAATTTAATTTAAACTTCATGATACTACAGCACATTACAAGCCTGTACTCAAACCACTTCTCTCAAAAGTTTCTTTAATCTTGCCAACTCCTTAGGTCAGGTCACGAGGAATTTATTCATCATGAATATCTCCTCAGTCCTTACGTACCAGAGAAAAGTTTAGTCGAGATGCGTGTAAGTTGACCCAACACCCCCCATCGAACCCAACAAAACAGAGTTTCTTGCTGACTCTAAACAAAGATGTAGTTTCTGTCATCTATATATGCCACTACTTGGTAGTTTATGTCGAAGACAACACTATAATTTGAAACTTTGAGCCTCTTTCATGACCATATTATACAAGAACAAAGCATCACCATACTACTTGGCTTGAGGAGGTGGGGGTGGCAAAATGAATGGCAATCCTTTGGATCCTTTCATTGAATCATACGGGTTCTTCTCATGAAACCTTCTGATATATTCAGAAACCTTTCCATTTATACTTGCAGTGTTCAATTCATTCATGTTCCTGTCATGAAACCTCTTGATATAATCAGAAAACCTGCTATCATTATTGTTAGTTCCACAGACCATGTAGGAAGATCTCTCTCCTTCATCTGATCCTGTCAAGTAGGTGAAAGATTTGGACCCGAGCTCTGTCTCTTGTAACCTCTGGCTTCTACTCTGTTGAGACGATGGCAAAGCGTTTGAGGGTTGGACTGGAGCGTTTAGAACCGCGATGTTTCCCTCAGGCACTCCACCATTTGATCCCAGATTCAAACCTGCAACATAAAAAGATGATAGTTTGATGATGTTAACCACCACCTGCATGGATTTCTCACACAAAGATTTCTTTCTGTTCCTGGCCTTACGGGTCATGGCAACTAACTAGCTAGCTTCAAGAGTTAAGAGCTAATTCTGATAACAACTTAAAGGAGCTGAGAGCATAGAAACTCTGAAAGTACAACAATTTATCGGTGGATATGGATTGTGAACCATTTAACCCTCCTCAAACCCCGTAATAACGGAAGTCTCGTGCATTGGGTGAGCCTTTTGAACCATGCTTTGAAGAGGGATTTTGGAGTAGTCAAATTGTTCTGTGGGGTTATTGAGAGGTGGAAGGCTAAAGGCTTTGATTACAACATAACAATGCAAATTGTCTCTACATTATTCCACAAAGTAAGCCCTCTTTTGTTTTGCAGAGGCAAAATTGTCAAAAGGGAAGGATGAGAGGAATCTTTCTTTCAAAACTATCTGTAAATGGTATGAGGTGCCAAAGTTGAAGAAAAAACAGATAGTAGGAATTTCTTGTATTTCATATGGCGCAATGGTAAGATTGCTTCATTAAAATCTACACGTCACAATTTTAAAATGAAGAAATAACCTATTTTTATGCAAGGTAAGACTAATAAATCTGATTATTGTCAAAATCTTTAATAATGAGGGTCTCAGCACACAAACTATTTGACGGGTACTTAATATCATCGAGACATCAACACTCACATACTAATAGTTATAATTTTTGAAAATCAAGTTACAATTTTTTAGGTTGTAAACTATAACGGCAAAGAACATGATTGATCACAAAGATGTTATGATTGATCATAGAAGTTATTACTTATAAAAGTCAAGTTACATAAATTTTTTTGGATTACTGTAGTGCTATTATTAAGGGCTTGGGGCAATCATGTGAAAACTGTTGTAAAACATTTGATGATGATGAAGAGGTGGGTTTCTGTTTCAACTTTATGCCACTCTTTTATGAGTGAATATTCAGAAGAAAAAGGAGACTACTGATTCTGACTTTTCAGCCTCTTGAACTGTCTTTGTTGAAAAACAATTGCATGATTCGGAAATTAGATTGCATTCTACTTTATGAAACATGCCAGTTGATAACACAGGCTTTGGACAAGATTCTACTGGAGTGGTGCCTTTCTCTTTCTTTGATTTTTGCTCTCCCCACTAGCTAGTTACCTCCTTTGTCCAATCTAAGAGCAATCTTTTTGAACAATTTCTAATCAGAAGAACACCCCCCCCCCCTCTCTCTCTCACACACACACACACACTCACACTAGAAATTTTTGTAAAGCTGTCTCTCCCCAAAATTTATTCAATTCGGGAACTTGAAGTAGACAAAATTGAGAAGTACCAAAGACTTGATTGGATTACTAGCCAGTTTAAAATTTGGGATTTTTACACTTTATACCCTCAAAAATTAAATTTTTCACATTATACCTTCAATGTATCAAAAATGTTACAATATGACCCTTCTATTAGCTTTCCGTTATTTTTTTCTGGCTTCAAATTTGAGCACTCAGAAACGCTAGATGCTTACGTGTCATTCAAATGAAACTCACCCAATGTTCGATGGCGCTAGACTTTTTCAAAATTTTAAGGACAAATTATACTTTACACCCTGAAAGCATAGACTTTGTTCTATCCCATCGGGTACATGCACAACACACAAGCATTGTGAAGCTGAAAGTACCATTCATATAGCTTGGGTGATCTGAAGTTTGTTTTCCTTTGTGCAACATTGTATCTTCGGCATTGTGAATGGGGTGTATGCAACTCGGAATAAACGAATCAAACGTATGAACAGCTTCGTTACATGGCATTCATGTGATATCATTTATTGTTAGCCAGAGTAGAAAGAGGCTGGATGGTCCAATGCCTATGTCGATTAGAGTTTACATTTACAAACAAAAACCTTGCTACTACCACCTCAGAAAATTGTTTGAAATACCCGAGGAAATTAGCGTAGAAATAACTAAACCATCTAATAAACCTCTCATCAAATGTTTGAATATCCCGCAAAACGTAAACCCTTAGGACCACCACCCATAAATTTACCCTTTTCGGTAGAGAAGTGACTTTACACAAAATCTAACATTAATCCAATACGTAAGCAGAGAAATACTGTGCTGATCAACTGACACAGCTAGAATATACAAAAAAAAAAAGGTTTGGAATAATGTTGATCACCAACAATTCAAAAGGTGAATGGGAAAACCACAAGTAAAAGGAGAGGAAAAACGTCTCCAGTCCACATGTACAACCCCTTGGTTATACATAAATGATTCCCGTACTAATACGTAGTGGGTGATCTATATTTAAGGAAAAATTGATGAAAGATTTCTCGGGGGATGAATTTGGATCATACTACATGGATCTCATACAACACACCAACCAGATCACTAAACACAATTGCAGTGGCCCAAAACATTCCATGCACAACAACATAATTGTCAGGACAGTGAAAAAAACTACTTCAAAGTTAATTTTGTTCTACTTATGCCAACTAAAAACCTCATCCTTTCTTCCCTTCAATCAAAAAACTTACCTCACGCGAGTCACACCTCTTGACAGAATCAGCAAAGCTTGTTCCGATAGAGAATCCAACTCTATTAATTTCTATCATTGGTCGCATTTTCAGTCACCATTCGTCAGGGAAAATGGAAAACTGACAAATCGACATCCATGCTGAAACCTGTTCTCTACAGTGAAATGAGAAATTACACAACACAATATACCATGCCTTGCTGCTTCCTCCTTTTCTGAAAAATATACAAAGACAAAGGACTTGGTGCCTTCCGTCAGTTCTTTGGCAAGTATTTTGCGCACAAAATCAAAGTCAGCAGCAACACAAACTCCAAACAAAGAATGATGTTGACTATTATCCTCAAACAACGAAACTCCTCTTTTAAAACACATCTACAGTGCACAAGGGCAAGCGAGGACTACAAACAGCCTGCAGGGGTATGTAGATCACAAAAAATAATCAGGAGTCTTGCGTGTGGTGTCAGGCTCAATCTGCCGAGGTGCTGGGTCAAACTGAAGGAAATTCTGCTCCATGTTCTCCCCGATTTCTAGTATTGCAGCCATGTTCCCACACCGATAACAGTAATTTGGAGCACTAAATACAGTCACCACATTCTTCTCCTAGAAAATGCATGAATGGGAATAAAAGATAATATAAGAAACAGATTGGTGAACAAAAAAAAAAAAAAAAATCTTTTGATTACTCTATCTATGTTCACAAACCTGACACCAATTATAACCTTCCATGACAAGCTGGTGGGCTCTTGAAATCAGAGTTAGCCCATTGGTGTGGTTGAACTGAGTAGCAATATCCTGTCCGAAAGTATAGCCAGCTCCTCTTGGAGATATTCCCCACCCACATCGGTCATCTGGATCAGACCACAAGAGATCGCACATAGGTCCTTCATGTGGAACCTACCAACCCACAAACAAAGATGTCATACACTGGCTTCAACAAAATCACCTTAGGACATTCCACATACTATACAAAATTTCCAGAGAGAAAATATAAAAATCACCATTAGCTCACTCATCTGTAATCACTCCTAACATGAACAAGAATAACAGCCACTGAGCCTCCCAAATTTCATGCATGCGTTAATCCAAAAAGCAACTAGCAAATAGCAGAACTGAAAAAGTGATAGTTACAAAAATTCTTAGTGCAGTATCAGAATGTACTATTACAAGTAAAAAAGTTCTCCAGGCAATGCATGGCATCCCACAGTTTTTTGGGATTTTACCATATATCAATCAAGTTTTCAGCCCATGTTGGAGTATGTTATCTACGAAAGGGAGAAAGAAAAACGAAAACAGAATAAAGAAACAAAGAGAGAAAGAAATAAAAAGGCTTTGGCAACAACCAGAGAAAAGCCTTAGATTTATGACAGACACACATGACATCTCAAAGCATATGAACTTCAGGCATATGATTGCTCATTTACCTCCTGTATACGGTCCAAGGCTCGGATATTGTCTAGTGTATCCAAGGATGGTGAAAGTCCTCCATGCAAACAGAAGATCTGTAATGCAACAATATAAAGCACTTAACCGTTGTCCTGAGATTAATAGAAATAACATATCCATGCGCGTACAACTCAAACCTGACTCTCAATAAGTGCTGTAAGGGGCAGATAATCAAAAAGGTCGGTGAAATGCTTCCAGACATTGGCATTTCCATACTTCCGCAAGCATTCGTCATAAAAACCATACCTGGGTTGAAAAACTGGAATATAAATAACAGCTATAAACAAATAAGAGATACTAACAAATACAAAGTTGCTAAAGCTCTAAGCTGCATGAACTAATTATATTCTCTTTCCAATTTACTTCGGGACATTTGAGCCAACCATCCAGCATCAGCCACATGAATCCTCCTCTCCAAAATTGACTCCGTCTAGATGCATATTTCCGCCTTTCTAATAGACCATCATCACGATTATAGCTTAAGCCAACAAAATTTTCAGCATTACAATTCAATATATATTCCTTGGGTTTATATCCTGTCTCTCAGCCAAGTCAAGTGATTGCACTCAATCATTGCACCCAACACCCTTGACTATGAGGGAGAAACAAAGAACCACTTGATCCGAGATAAGAGCAGCATCACACTGGTGTGCGCCTCATGGTTGATGTAATCCATACATGGCATGTATAAAAAGCTTCCTAAATGTATTTTCCTCATGCATTGTCCCGCTAGCAATTAGCTTTGTTTCAAATTTTGACCAAAAGACAATTTTCTTTCCTTCTCTCCTCAAGATCCCTCCAACCTCTCCTTTCCTTGTATTGTTCATCATGTCCATCAAATGAACCATTATATTCAAATGAGTGGTCTACATGGCACAATTCATATTTTAGTGTTATTCGCGCTTCCACGTGTTGCCTAGTTCCTATGCAATTGTCTCATACAGAAAGTTTTATTAGACCAAAAGCACCCTGTCAAGTCAGAGTAATGGACCATCTAGTAGGAGGGCCAAAAACTAGAAGAACAGAAAGTAGAGGAAATGTTACAGATGCCCCTGAGAAAGGAAAGATACCTTTCTTTCCCTCTGTCTTTTGTTGTCTATGAAGGAAAGAATAAAAAAAAAAATATTGCTTGATTTTACCACTATATTTGTTATATATAAAGGGAATAGTACTTGTCTGAAGGGCAAAACAGTGAATGGAGTGACAGTCAATCTTCTTTCTTTTTTCTTCCTCCCATTTTAGGAAAAAAAATATGTGACCAAAGGGACTATATATCCGTTTTCTCTTCCTTCTCCTTCACTTTCTACCAAATGAAAAACTCCACCCATTCCTCCCCCTCTCCTTCCATCCAACTTTTCCTCTTATAAAATAGACAGCAAAAGTGTATTGGTTAGAGAGGAGAAGTAGAAGGAAGGAAGGTGGGAGGGAAACAAAATGGAGATTTTAGGTTCCATCTATATCTTATTAGGGAAACTAGATCTCTCTCTCTCTCTTCCCAACCATCATAAACCCATCAACTCCACCCTAGCCCCTCTCAGATAAAACCCCACCCCACAACCCTTGGAGCCTTGAGAAAATCCCTGAAAGTCCTTTCTATCACAAAGCATAACAAGGACTCAATCTTCAACCACAAAATCCTCTCTGTTGAAGCCCCACTTTTGTTGCTTGTTGATATGCAGTTGGCAAGAACTTCTAGTTCCATAGGTGCTCCAACTCCAACAATAACCCAAGTGTGTGTTGTTTGTCCTCATTGTATCTATTCTATGTTCAGCGAGGTGTGAAATTGATATTTTGTCAAATTTACTTTGTTAGTGAAAACAAGCATATATCACCCATATCACCCAGCCTGAAACTTGAAACTTAAAATTGAAATGCAATATACACTTGGGCAACTTGCCCTTTGACTGCCACCTCATATTTTGATGGTGCTAATCCAAATTTCATAATCGCAATGGATCTCTTACAATTCAATGTAGACATTGAAGAGCTCATAACTGAGTTTGACCAAGTGCCACATGAAAAGGAATAGTTATCTTGGTATTTTTTTGGGTTATTGTTATGTGTTATTATGTGAGTGTAATAGTTTTTATATATTCCTTTAAGAAATATTATTGTAGTTCAAGTGGTTGGGTTTTCTCGACCAAATCGACTAACATTGACCGAGATGAAGATATTATAGCTTTTCTAAAAAATTCTCCATTATCGTTCTTCAAGTTATCAATTTTTTGACGTTTTTGATTTTGATTTGACCCGTTTGGGTCTATTATGGTTTTTGTTTTCAAGTTTATAACTTATTTGATCTAGCCTGATTTATATTGGTTTAATTATGACTTTGGACTTACCAAAAAAATTATGGCACTGGTGTAAATTTTTGGGCACATCTAAGAGTGTGGATTTGTGCATACACACAAGGCGCTGCTATATCTCATGAACACACACATCCACCCACACTCTTTTTCATGTGTAACTTTTGTTACGTTGCATAGTGCCTCCAGGCACGGGCCAGGCATTAGCTAGTTATTATATAATTTGCTTAACGAAATGTTTCAACAACATCATTAGAACCAATCTTACAAATATGGAAAAACACTCTACTACCACATTCTACAAGTAAAGAACATTTGCACAATATCCTGGCTGAAGTTTTTAGCATATTACACAATGCACTTTCATCCATATTTGTCTACTTTAAAAATGTCAACTTTTGGCAGCTAATTATTTGACTGTAGCTGGAAAGGAGAGGATAGCAAACAACTATTCTATTGTTGGTTTGGGGGTGCATAATTCAGTTTCCTCAACATTAAAAGACAAAGGAGATGAATCCACTGAATAGAATCATCAGGTAGTGTTCCTCATTACACCATATAAGCCAATTTCCTAGTAAAGATGAACATTATAATAAATTTAAACTCATAGACGCTACAAAAGTAAATGAACCTTTAAACTCCAACTAGTAACCTCAAGATGGGAAATACAATGAGTATGCATGGTTGCATGTCTAGCCCTGGCATAGGATGCAGGGCCAGGCATGGCACCCAATTTACAATGAATTAGCCTGTTAAATTAGTTGTCTCCCACAAAAGTTTAGAATAATAGAACACATAGCTGTTGTGTGAGCACGCTCTCGTTTGGGGAAAAAGAAATGGGCAAATTGAAAAACACATAGCATGTGAATATAAGGGAATCTTGAATATATCAGATCAAAAAATTTGACAGAAGTATGGAAATTTTGCTAAAACTTCTATGAAGTTCACATTACTTTCTTTTCTAACAACCTGCAGTATGAGAAACCCATGTCAAGATAGAAAAATAACTTCTTGAACTTTGACCCCCCCCCCCCCCCCAAAGTGTGGATTAGAACTTGAAATAGTAAAGGTCTTACACTTGAGTGATTTGCCGACTCTCATGATTTCCTCGAAGGATTGTAATTCTATCTCTATACCGAACTTTCAGAGCCACTAAAAGTGTGACCGTCTCCACTGAATAGTACCCACGATCTGCATTAATTGATTAATGCTTTTAAAAGATGCAAAAATATCTTCCAAGTACAATTTCCAACCAAAACAAACCAGTGTATGAATATATCACTGAAGAAAGGAAATCAAGTTGATCAGAGCAAGAAATTTGG